ATATATATTCTTCCTTAAAGAAAATGTAACTAGAAATTGTGCTCAGAAAAACAAAAAAATGTTTCAATCCTTAATTGCTTCATAGGCTTTCATGACATTTGAGTGCTTTCACAATATGTCAGTACTATTTTAAACTTGGGTTATAGAGTAGATTTCTCTCTATCACAAAAAAATATTTAAAATCACGTTACTACTACTGGTTCTTTTAGTTAAACATTTTGCATAAAAGTTATACATTCTTTTTTGTCATGTTTCAGGTGTCTTGGCTACCATTTCTGGCTTCCTTTCTTTGCTATGGCTTAGGTTCAAGAGTTTATTTCTCAGCCCACTAGCAGATTCTTTTGATAGTTTAGCTTTTACTGAATCTTTTGCAGTGAAGAAAGCTAGTTCATCAGTGGTTTATCATTTTTACTTTGTTGTGTGAAATAAAATTTATGAGAACAACAGCAAAATTATCTGTATAAACAAGAAATGTGGTAGCTTAAACTGGATCATTTTACTTTGTTGGCATCATGCATCTGTACTGTACCAAAAGTGTTTATATGTCTGCAAATTAAAGGTATATATTTTCATAAGTTTTCTCATTTTTACCATTTTATATTCGAACATGGGCTTATTTTTTCACTGAAGTGCCTGTTATTGGCATCTGTTTGTTTTTTGGGTTAAATATGGGCAAACTGTAGCATTCTTCTATGCTGAAGTTTATATTAAACTAAATTATTACATTGCTAAACTATGGGTATATTATGTATCTAGGTAGCTGTAGACAGAAAGGTAGAAATATTGTATACCTGTATGTTGAATATAAATTCCTATGAAAATTTGAACTTATGCATGTGCATATATAGGTATATTAATTTATTATAGATTTACTATCAATTATAAACATTTCTTTTACCACACATAACAAATTTTTTGCTATGTTTTCAGAGGTTTAAATAATTTAAAGTAAAAATACACTCCAAAAAATAATCAAAGGGAAACATCCAAGATCATTTTTATTCATATTAATTTTTTCTTTTTTCTTCAATTTGAGAATTTGAATAAAATAATAAGCAGATGAGGCAAATGTATCTGTTACAAAAATAAATTTATTTAAATTCTTTTGTTTGGAAGGGCATTTGAGCTAAGAGACTAAGATAATTTAACCCCAAAACTTTTATTCATCATTGAAGTAGAGCATTGGAGGAAAACATAATTTTCCACTGACATTATGCTTCTTTTTCCTTTTTAAGGGAAGGTACTACATGTACTACATAAGATACAAGTAACACCATTAATAAAACAAATCTAAATCTTCCATAAATGCAATGACCTTTACCTTCAGTATAAATTTTAAAAATAAATACTCTATTCATTTTTTACATTTGAAGAAGTTTTTCATGTGTTTGGGGATTGGACTTCAACTCTAGCATGAGAAATATCTGTAACCTTAATAAAAAGTTGTGTTTCTGAATAACTTCTTGTGACAGGATTTCCATTATAAAAAACATCTCATTCACATTAAAAACATTAATAACAGGGAAAGCTAAAATAAATTAAGCTGAAAAATAAAAGCCCCTTTTCACTAACACCTTGGGCTAGAACAGTTGCCAAAATGTATGCTAATTATGTCAATGTTAGTTGAGCTGGCACAAAAATAAATGTTCCATTCATTAAAAATCCTAATATCCATTTAACAGTTTGAGATCCAGTGAGTTCTCCTCATCCAATTTAATGAAGAAGAGATTGCTCTGATCTTGGTACTACCAAATTCATCTTTATGCTACAGACAAAAGTGTTATTTAATTTGAACCAGGAAATTTAAATCCAACATAGTAATTTCAGCTACAGGGGAAAACAATTTACATATCATAATATTATTTGACTCTGTAGAATTTATTGAATCTTTAGAAAAAATCCCATGTAGTCATTCTTTTATCAATAATAGTAAAGAAAAAGGAAAAAGATTTACACTTGTTTAAACCAGTTTTATAGTATTAGTGTATTAAAAAATCCAAATAGTGTCTTTAATGACTTTGTGTGCATTTTATGAAAATACCAGGCATGATTGTACCATGAAATAACATCACTAGAAGCAGTGTTAAGTATTGTGCATGAAGGTACCTTGATTGAAGGAAGATCTCCCAGAATTATGGTAATTTGTGCTTCCAGAAAATTTCTAACTTAGCAAATTTTAAAAAAAGGGCTGAAGAAATCCTGTACTCCGGAGACTGGGCTCTCAGCTCTCCTTGGTGCGATGAGGACTCTGGGGCCCTGATGTTTGGCAAACAATGGGTAATGCAATGCAAGCGCAGCAGTGGCCACGTGGTGTTGTTCACTGGCATTTGGCAGCCTCAGTTCACGGAGACCAGACATACAACACTCAAGCATTTTCTTCTCTCTCGGTTAGATTTGCTCATGGCAAAATAGCAGTCTGTTGTTCAAAATGCCATGTTGCTGACTTTTATGATCTCTGCCTTCACATTCAGAGTCAACAAATATTACTGAAAGAAAGAGAACTAACAGTCATGCAAGTGGACTCAAAGCAGGAAAAAAAAATCAATTAAAACCATTCCTAATTCCTGAACAAAAAAAAAATCCACCATAAGGCTTTCTTTATTGATTTCTATTATTGGTAAGAAAAGATCATGTACATTTTAGAAATGATATATAGATAAATATATATATATATACTATTAAACATTGTCAGATGTCATTTTTAAATAATTGTTCTTAGAGTATTAACATTTTTCTCATAAACTCCTAAACCACCTGTAGTGGCTCATGCCAGTAGTCCCAGTACTGGGGAGACTGATGCAGAAGGATCCCACAAATTCAAGGTCCCACTGGCCATGACTGTCTCAAATAAATAAACAAACAAACTTCTAAATTGTGAATGCCTTCTTCTAAGGGTATAAAACAAAATAAGTGAATTTCAAAACAGCCCTATTGCTTAGAAATAAGAACCACTGTGGTGATATGAAAAATTTATTCATTCATTCCTTATGTATTTTAGCATCCATAATTAACAGGGATTTAACTGAAAATCAAAAAAGAATCTCTTAATGAACTTGCATTTTGTTTTGGAAGCCTAATAAGAAAACAAAATGTCAAAACACTGAATTTTATAAATGCCTGTCCCCAGGATGCCATGTAAACAGTACCTAATCCAATCTTAGAAGGCCAGAAAATGCTTCCCCCTGGAAGTGATTTGTGTTTAAAGCCCTCTGCAGAGGAGGTGATATCCAAATTGAGTCTTTTTTTTTTAACCCTCATTGAGTTTATTGGTATATTTTAGATATATAGTACAGTTACATTCATCATTGGGATCTTGTACCTTTACATAACAGGTCTTGGTTCTCATTTTTCCCCACACCCCTGCCCTCCTTTCACCCCCTCCACACTTCCTATTTATAAAAACTTTGTTTATATTTTTTCGAGCCAGGGAAACCAGCAGAGAGCAAAGAACTACATTTGAAGCAGGAATAGTGTCCCTAATATACATATAGGAGTAAATCTGTCATGCTTAAAGATCCACAAATATTGTGGTTCTTCATGGCTAAAGAGATAGAAAAAATAAAATCATTATTAACAACAAACTCAGAGACATGAGGTGGAGATTTAAAAATGTTTTGACCAAGGAGTCTGTATTCAAAGACCATTTACTCGTGTATAGAGTTTGTGTTGAAAATATTACAGATAGTAATTAGTAGGTTCAGTGCCATTTTAAGTGAAAAATAGGACTTTAAATCAGAGAATATTAGATACATTATAGCATAGTAGAGGAAGTAAATAATGTATAGCTGATAAAAATGTGTGATGATATAGAATTGATCTACAAATGATCATGAGAAAGTGTATAATTTGTTTTTGAACCATTTTTACAAATTTTGAAAGGATAAGGAACTCATTCACTAAACACTGAAACAGCCATAAAAGAACTGCAGTAATACCATTTTCTGTAGTGCTAGGTTTTATGACACAGATGGAGTTATAACAATTCTAATTTACCCAGTTTATTTCAGCTTTATGACTGTCAATTCTATTCAATTTACCAAACATTACTGTGTGCCCATGTGGTAGATATCCATTTATGAGGTTGACCTCATCACAAATATTTTATCCCAAGGATTTTAAGTATTTTCTTCTAGCTGTACTAAATATATACACAAATATAAGAATCATGATGAAAACTTAAGGAAAAAGATGACAAAATGTCAGTGAACAATATACAGTGAAGATATGATTTAAGCTGTTGTGCAAAGACAAAGAAAGAATTATAAGACTGTCATAAGTCATTGTGAGCAAGGTCTAGGAAATATAAACATAAGAAATAGCAAATAGCCTCAGACCTTGAGGTTCAACATCATTTTGGATGAAACAAATCATTTAACAAACATTTCTTGTGCTTCAGTCTTAAAGTAAAAAAAAATTATTAGTAGCTAATATTCACTGGTGAAATTTTCCAATTTAAAATAAACAGAGTACATGC